CCTACTAAACCTGGGGGCCACCTGCATTTAATTTGACGCCAACGGGGCTTCGCCCCCAGCAGCCTTGTACCTCCGGGAACACCAACGGGCCTCGCTTGGATTCGAACCTGGGATCTGCAACTCCCAAGCCTTCACTGTTGCGGCAGCTTTACCGTTAGGCTATCTTACCTTTGGTTTAGGATTTAGGTTTTTGGTTCTGTTATTGCTTAATCCCAAAATAAGACCCTATTACAGATTATATAACCTCTCTAATTCCTATCTGCTACCCGAATAATAAAACGTAACAATTAACTCCCTGTTTATTCCCCCAAATACCCAAATAATCCCCCAATCAATAAAAACCGACACTAATACGAAATAACCGAAAACAGCTAATAATTGTGTTTCCCACAGGTTTTAGTTTGCACATGTTCTGAATACGAGAATACATGTGTTTCATAAAATGGGGTCATCGAGATTCGAACACAAGACTAGTTGATCCCAATAACTTGAGTTCTGTGTGGGAGGTTCAATAATGGATAATATATCACTCACTAACAGTCGTTGCGATCAAATGTTGGGTGCTTTTTCGGTTGTTGTATAGATACGCGCGGTGTCAACAAATAAAAGGTCACCATGTCCATCAAACGACCTCACAAAACGCAGAATGTGCAATCTGACGACACCCAACTCCGTGAGCACCGTACTCATGTTGTTTTTTTCTAGTTAGCAATTTGAATAGGTACAAGTCTATTTTAATCGTAGAATGGTGCTCTGTCGTACAACGGTACAAGTCTTGGTACGAAATTACGACATATATAAAGTTGTGTTTTATATGATTTTATTAAAATTTTGTTAGGAGCTTTCAATAAATATGCTTTTGTTAGGTACAAGTCTATTTTAATCGTAGAATGGTGCTCTGTCGTACAACGGTACAAGTCTTGGTACGAAATTACGACATATATATAGTTGTGTTTTATATGATTTTATTAAAATTTTGTTAGGAGCTTTCAATAAATATGCTTTTGTTAACGGGTTGGTGAAAAGATTTAAAAGAATAAACTAGCGTGGGCCCCGGCCATTTGGCCGGAGGAATGTGACGTATGAAATTTGATAATGTAATGTGGTGTATAGCTTATTGTTGTATAGTTTTTTTTGGAACCACGTAATAAAAATAGTGAATTTTAGTAGGAAAGAGACATGAATGATGCAACAAATCAAAAATCAGCCTTATGAACCAAAATCAAGTACCTGTTACCTTGTGAATCAATATTGTTTCTGGTAATATGATGAGGTGGAGTAAGTTTTATAGAAACTGAATTCCAGAAAATCGAATAAAAAATCGCCTATCCCGCCGGTTTTCCGGAAATGAGCATCTCACAATCTTTGCTAGCTTTTACTCGGCCCGTTGGCCGATTAATTTGTTTTATAAAACTTTCATCTTGTCATCATTGTGCTTTCTGTTTTTTGCCAAGCCATGATAAAATTTAAAGAAACCAAGAATGAACAACACGATTTGGGATAGGAACCACCGTTCCTGTATCCCTAGAAAATGGTGGTAAACACGGACTCACCTGCCAAACTGGTTTGGATTGAGATTTTTATCGGGTATCAGGGAACCATGTGATTATAAATTAGACTTGATCAAAACGGGCCAAAACTTGAAATTCAGCATGTTTGACCGACCCATGCCAAGCTCTAATTATTCTTTACTTTTAAACTTTCTATTTGAAAATAAAAAATAATGAAAGAAAAGATATTACAGCAATTCACCATTTGCACATCACTAATTCGGGAATAAAACTATAGAATTTCGAAATAAACTGAAAATGTTTAGGATCGTTTTAATGTTAAAAATAACCAAATAGATCTTTTTTTTTAGTTTTTTACTAACAAATACCAAACGATTCTCTATAATATACACTATAATTTAATCATTATGATATCAAATAATTACATAATATATATTTGAAATGATAAAAATTGGACTAATTGTGTTGGTCGAGGTTGAACCATTGAATAACTTTAAAATATATTATATTTTAGCTACTAAGATATAAAATAATAGCATAATATATATTATGCTAGAGAAAATAGTTTGTTTTAGAATGGCAAACCCATGATGTTCATTTGTTTTACTTGATGGGCAAATCCCGGGTAGGTCAGGCCCATTCAACTCTTTTATTTTATGATTAGTAGTTAGCCTATTAGAATCCATGCATTAGTTTATTGTTAATTTTTTTCTTCTTAGCAATAAAAAGGAGTATTGTTTTTGCCTTTTCATATATATTTTACCACCACGGAGAAATAAAAGGACTTAAAGAAAAAAATTGACACTCCTGAACCCGTTTAAATCCGCATGTGTACGGTAAGTTGGCCCGTTCCACAGAGTAAAAAGAAAAAAAATTGACACTCCCTATTCTACCCTTCCTACAAACGCACCTGGAGCAGGGAATTTGAAATGGGGGAAGGGTTTTTTCCTCTCTGCAATTATATGTTTTTAATGTAAAAAGATACAACAATGTACTTAGTGTGATTGGTTATTATATTTGTTTTTCTTTACATTGGTCATGGTTCGAATCCTAGTAAGTGTCTTTTTAATGAATAAAAAAAAAGTAATTGTGAAGACCAAAATGTCCTCCCTACTTTCACTCTGGATGCAGGAAATTTGAAATGGAGCTTGAAGTTTTCTCATTTGGCTTTTATTTATTGTGTAGATTGTCCCAAGGAAAATTGGAGACAAAAAAAGTGTCTCCTTCGGTCTTTACATTGAGATAGTTGAACGACAGTTAAAAGAAACGTGATATGTAAAACATTTAGCGATTATTATATAAGTTATTTATGGTAATTAAAAAAAGTCATTCTCAAGACAAATAAGGGACTAAACGATCAAATTACCCAGGTCAATTTTTGTTGGAGATGCAGGTTCTTGGACAACTATTATATTATATATGCGTTTCATGGATTAGTTATATTTTATGAATGTATGATTTGGATTATTGTTTTGTGGTTAGTTTGTTATTTATGACATTGAACATCAATCTTTAAAAGTTGACATTTTTTTCAAACTTGCATAATTTTTTTTGTTGGATGTACAGAATGGATATTGACCGAGATTATTCGAAAATTATGGGGATGATGGGTTGCAAAGCCTCCTCGAAAAGAATATGTGGTAGTTGTGCAATTGAGTTTTTTGAAACAGGGATGTGGACAGTTTAGGGAAATCTATCTCATTGTCATTCTCGACGGTTGGAGGGTGCAAATTAAGGACCCTTCTCACGAGGAGTTATGGGTGACAATGGCTTTGTGAAGATATTCGCCAACTGATTATAAGGAGTATAAAAATCTTGATATAGTTATTGACCATAAAGTTATGGAGAGAATCCGCTACTCAGAGGAAAATTTCTCATTCTTCCTTGAGAAGCCATAATTGCAATCCAACTCTCTCAGACTCATCTCTTTTTGGCGGTGGTGCCAAGTTTGCCTCCCGTTTCATCTCTCTCACCGTTGAACACTCCGGCCTCGTTGTTTCTCTTTCAATAGTTAGTCGGTTTTAACCGATAACCTAACTGATAAAGACAGTTAGTGGTTAACCGATAAGAAAACCGATGCCATGGGAGGAGCTATCTTGGAGGACATCCACCGGCTGGCGAATTCCTTTGAGTATTGTTCGGTTACTTATGCTTATCGCAGCTTCAACAGGGCCGCCCATTTTGTGGCAAAACAAGCTCTTTCATCGGAAGTTCGACTATTGGTCGACTTCTGCAGTGTGTTATTTTCTGTCCTCTGACTTTGTGATTGTCTTAACTCTCATCTGACTATGTAAAAAAAAGTTCCAAATTCAAAGCAATCAAAGTCTCAATTCCAAACATCTCAATTCTCACTTATTGCATACACTCTCCACCAAGAGTCTCAAATGTGTTTAGTCACTCCCCTCTAACTCCCCTTTTCAGTAGACAGAGTGAAACTCACACCCTAGTGATCTTTTTCCTTTGATGTTTGTGAATAATAATAATGATCTTGTGGTGCTTGTGTTTGATGTCTTACTAGTAATTGGTACTCGCTAATTGGATGAATAAGTTTGATTATTTTTTATATTATGAATTGGAATTTGGATTTCAATTATGAATTCACGATGAATGTTGTGTTGATATTATTTCTTATAATTATTATTTTATATTAAAAATATAGAAATATAGTTATATGATTTTGATATATTTGTATGATTATTCGTCTTTAATATTTGGTTCTCTTGGTTATTGTCATGTTTGTGAATTAAAAATGATGTTAAATGACACTTATTAAACTTAATTGGATGATGATTTGTGTGTTACAAGTGGTTATTGGTTCGGTTTGTTATGATTCATGAAAGAAAATCGAAACTATTTGTTCGATATTTGATTCGATTAGATATAGTCGTAGTTGTTGGAATGTATGTTAGTAGTTATTGGTTAACGATAAAACTAACCGCTAACCAAGCTGATAAAAATGGCTAACCAATAAAACTTATCGATATGAGTTTTTTTCCCCCCTGATTGGTTAACCGATAACTACCATATATGTTATTAACCAAAACCGAACCAATTAGCACCTCTACTCAATCCGGTGGTCGTCTTCAGTCACCAAGTATGAAAACCAACACACAAAGTCAATTTGGAAAGGAAACGACTGTGTAACACCCTAACCTGGCCAGACACTGCTTTTACCAAAATACCCTTCATAAACCGTTAACCAAAACCAGAATAGAAAATGCTTTGAAATTCAATTCATAATTTCTTGAAAATTTGCTTACGCGGAAAACATAAACATACTTAATAAAGACACGTCAAGTCTCGATCATACTAAGTACATAAGAATTTAATTCTTCGTACTAGTGTCCGCTGGAGCCCTTGAAGATGGCAGATGTTCACACGCTGAGTTCCACCACATGATTCAGCTGTGAAAGATGACTCTTAAACCAACAAATTACACCTTCCCCCCGGATATCCATTGTTTCAAGGGAGTCGAGCTGCCTCGTTGAATCACCAGTAGTCTCTGCATGAACAACTACCATTCTCAAAACAATGGAACCTAGCTGAATCTCGCACCACTATTTTCCTATCTACAATCTTTGATATGAACTTGATTGCTGTGTGACAATCTACACAAGTTCTCAAGTTCTTGAAAACTTTGATCGGTGTTCCGGCTGCAGTAGAAATAACCCCATATGCAATCGCAAGCTTCTCGCTGTGGTAAGACAGGTTCTGCTCCTTCTGCTCTTCCTCAACATCATGCAACACAGAGTTTGTGTCAGGAACAAACCCTTCTTCCTTCATTCTCCTGGAGAGCTCGCCAAGGAACTCGTGTATTTGTTTTGATTTCGGGTGAGACTTGTCTCCAACCAAGAACACATGGGTCTTTCTCTTGACCTCAATCCAACTCTTACCTGGTTTCTTCACCACTCCTCTGTCATCCATAATCATTCGAATCTTAGCCACCTCGGCCCACTTACCAGCAGTGGCATAAATGTTAGCCATGGTAACATAAGTAGCAGGATTTTCAGGTTCTATCTCAAACAATGCCTCTGCAGCCTTTTCTGCAAGCTCAACGTTCTTATGGATTCTACAGCCGCCAAGCAAGGAAGCCCAAAGGAACTTGTCAGGCTTTATAGGCATGCCACTAATAATGCGCTTGGCTTCTTCGAATCTCCCACAGCGTGCCAGCAAATCAATAATACAAGCGTAGTGATCAGTCGTGTAAGTCAGGCCATGTTTATCCTTTATTGAGTAGAAGTACTGAAGCCCTTTATCAACTAACCCGGCATGAGCACAGGCAGAAAGAACTCCAACAAAAGTTATGTGATCGGGGTAGACTTTACCAGAGTTTAGAAGCAGCTCAAAGTAGTGAAGAGCTTCATTAGGTTTCCCATTTTGGGCATAGCCAGCAATCAAAGAAGTCCAAGAAACCAAATCGGGCTGCAGCATCCCTTTGAATACTCTTTCAGCATTGACCATGCTACCACATTTGGAATACATGTGAACTAGTGCACTTGCTGCAAAAGAGGATGGGGTTGAGCCAACTCTAGTGATGTATCCATGTACCTGCCTCCCAAGCTGTTCGGCAGTTACATCGCTACAAGCATTCAAAACCCCAGCAAAAGTGAACTCATTAGGTCTCGTTCCGGACTTGATTAAGTCCTTGAACAGATGAAGCCCTTCATCTCTCCTACCGTCCTCAAAATACCTACCGATCATCGTCGTCCAAGTCACAACATCTCTATCCACCATCCTGTCAAAAATATGCCTTGCTTCCTCTATGCTCCCACATTTTCCGTACATATCAGATAGAGAACTCCACACTACTTGATCCGACTCCAACCCAGTTCTCGTTATATGACCATGAATCTCTTTCCCTATTCTTAAACACGGGATTGCCGCTGCAGCAGCAAGAGCACTAGAAACTGTAAACTTATTCCCCTGCCAGTTTTGACACCGACTCATCATTCTACACAAATCTAACGCCTCGTTCGGCCTATCATAACGCACATATCCCGAAACCATTGCGGTCCAAGTAAAATTATCTCTGTCAGGCATTTCATCGAACAGTTTCCTCGCCTCTTGCAGCAACCCCAATCTCGCGTACCCAGATACCAAAACGTTCCACGAACACAAGTCCCTCCGACCCATTTCGTCAAACAGGTTCTTTGCGTCCTCCATGCCATCACATTTCACGTACATGTCGAGCAACCGATTCGAGATGAACTGACCAGGCACAAACCCAGATCGTTTTATGTGCTGGTGAACCTTCCTCCCGTCTTCCAAGGACCGCGTCTTCAAGCAGGACTGTACAACAACTGAGTAGATAGCAGCTGAAGGTCTATCCATCCGGTTAAGTAGTTGAATTGCATCCTTGCCACGATTTTGCTCGCACAAGATGTCAATTGCTTCTTTGAATCTGTTCTCCCTGCATAAGCGAGCGACGGGATCATCTTTGCCGGCGCTTGATCTGATGAAGCTTTGTGGAGCTAGAGGCTTCTGGGGTTGGGACTGCGAGGAAAAGGAGGATTTGAAGATCTTGTTCAGCGGGAAAACAGAAGAGGAACGGAAGGATTTGGAGGTCTGGAGTCGCATACTTCTTTTGGAGGGAACGAAGAGTGATGGTGAAGAAGAGCAAATGCGCGACTGGGCGGCAAAATGTTTTGGTTTGGTACTAAACATAACTATGGGCCTGCATATGAGCCCAATAAACTAGCTGTGAAGGCTTCATGTTGGCCCAATACATTTCTAATGAGAAGTTGTTAGTGGTAGAACTTAGAAGACGAGTCTGGTTATGGTGTCAAATTTACTTATAGTCGTTTTTAGTGATGGAAAAGAAAAGTTTAGGAAAAACAAAAAATAAAAGTGATGGTTGTCAATAGAGGAAATGCATTTTTAGAATAAAAAACTTCACTATAAATCTAACATACAGATCACTTGGAGAGTTGGAGTATGATAAATTACAGGAGTATGTCAATCATTATTATATATATCGTATATTATTTTTTTCATTGATACGGTTTGCATTCTGACCAGGTATGTCATGTCAAAATGGTGTCAATCACCATTTGTGATATGACGTACAAAAAATACAATAATTTACGCAAAAATCATTAAGATTTACTATATATGATTTGATTGATATATGATAGACATTCAACTGACGACTGTTGGAAGTCAAGAGTACGAGGTTCGATAATGGAGAAAAGTACAATTATGATCAGTTTGTGAAGCCTTCAATTGTGAAGATGCTCACTTCGCTCACCAAGTTAATTAGAATTATGGTTAAATACACTTGCATATCCAAAACTTTCACGATTGTGTCAATAATATCCAAATTTCCCGAAATACCACTTATATCCAATTCCTTCACATTCTTTAATGGTGTTTTTGGATATACAAGTGTATTTAACCAAAAATATATTGGAAAATGGATAGATTTGGCAAAGAACAACTTTAAAACATGGATATAAGTGGTATTCCGGGAAATTTGGATATTATTGGCACAACCGTGAAAGTTTTGGATATACAAGTGTATTAAACCTAGAATTATTGTCTACCCATTCTTTTCCTCCTCCTCCTCCTCTACTCCTATATCGCCTCCCTCATGGTTCGTCTCTATGCCTCAAACTCAACTCAGATATGTTGTTCATCCTAATCGCCGTATTGACTGATTCTCTTTACTCGATCCCGCCGCCGCCGACGAGGGCCATGGAGATGTCGTGAGTAGGTGCCGCCGCCGAGTCGAGGGACCTCTCGCCGTCGCCGGGGGAGACGGACGGTTTACGACGGTGTCCGTGACTCCGTGTGAATTAGTATATGACTAATGACTATATGGGATTTTGATTTTTTAATTAATTGATTTTCTTTTATAATTAAAATATTTAAAATTGAAATTAGGAGTATTACCGAGTAAATCAGGGGTAGTTGGGTCATTTCAAATTTTTAGTCTTAAAACGTTCACTTAATAGATAATTGGATGGAAAAGTAAACTCGTTATGATTTAATATTGGCAGAGTATGTTTGTGCAAAAATTTAATATAAAAATACATTTGTTAATTTATCATAATTAAGAGGTACAAAATGTTATTAACTCTAGAGATAATAAATAAATATTAAGTTGGCTGATATTTTAATTTTGAGGAGATTGATAGGGTATATTCCGTTTTAGTCATCTATTTTCTTAGCGCGTGGTTACCACCTTTTGTGTCGAAAGGTGAAAAAGTTGACAAGCAGCTTTGTCATCGTGTTCCGATTAGCCCCATTCAACGACAGACGGAAGAGCTTTCCGGGAAAATCCCAAATCGGCAGCAGTCACATCAGCCCACGGCCAAAGGCTAGGCGACCATTGTTCGATAGGTACAGAACTAAACACCTTCCCCACGAAGGCTTATTTCGGTCAAAGCCGTCTCTGCATCTCCAGAAAGCCAGAAACCCAACTCTGGGACTGGGTATCCATCTCCCAACACTTTCGACAACAACCCACGATTTGTTTTTGCGCTCAATCAATTCCCCCAAGTCGTTGAGCTCGTAATCTCGCCGAAAGTCGAGTTCTTTTCCCAGCTAGCTCCCTCCCTCAGTCGCCGAGCAAAAAGGGGGGGAAACTATGGCTGCTGCTGCTTCCTTCGTGGCTTCCGCTGCTACTGGAGCTGGACTGGAGCTAGTTTTCGGCACTTTCCTCAAAGTAATCTTCGAGGTAAAGAAGACCAACTCCCAATTCGATCCGGCCCTCGAGCTCCTGGAAGCAACCGTGAAGGATCTGACCCCCGATATCAAGAGAATCGACGCTTTCAACAGGGAGTTCGATCGGCCCGACGAGATGGCCGATCTCAAGGAGCTGATGGCGAAGGCGGAGAAATTGGTCCGCAAATGCTCCAAGATCTGGCGTTACAATATCTACAAGAGGTATTTCCACGCCAAGAAGCTTCTCAAGTTGAACGACGAGATCCCTCTGTATATCGGCAGCGTTATGCAGATCATTCAGTTTGCAGACCAGAAAGAGACCCTTTTTGAAGTGAAACAGGTGAGTAACCAGATCAGGAAGTCCCTCCCTCGAGTTGTGCAGGGTCTGTGCTCACCTCCCGAGCTGAAAGTGGTGCCAATTGGGTTGGAGAGTCCATTGAAGGAGTTGAAGGAAGAGCTGCTGAGAAATGAGCTTCCACTTGTTGTCATTTCTGCTCCTCAAGGGTGTGGGAAGACCACTCTGGCTACTGCACTCTGTCACGACCGGGAGGTTCGAGGTAGGCTAGCTGCTTTCTTCTCCCTGCTCTCTCTTGATCTTTATGTAAAAATTGGTACTGAATTTGATGCTAGATTGAATTTAGATCATCTGAATAGTAGATATTTGATAATTTCTCTGTTTAGATGCAAAGTGGATGGAATTGACAGATCCCCATAGCTTCAAATCTAACCAAAATGGTTTGAAGGATTTGTTAGTTCCAAAAATCTGAACTTAAACTAACTTATAGAACCAACTTTACAATAACTTTTCTCAAATAGACCACCCATTTCTCTGCTTGACATGTATTTGATTGATTTTGGTACAGACAAGTTCAAGGGCAATGTTCTGTTTGTCACATTTGGGACAAGTCCTTGCTTGGTGGAGATAGTGGGAAGACTTCATGAGCACTACAATTGCCCGCTGACTGAAGAACTATATAGTGACGAGGACGTAATTTCTGAACTAGAGATCCTGATGAGGAGGATAGAACCCGATCCTGTTCTGTTGGTAATTGATGATGTTTGGTCCCGATCGGAATCTCTTCTAGAGAGGATCAAGTTCCAAATAAAGAACTACCAGATTTTGGCGACCTCTAGTTCCGAGTTCCCCAGAATTAGTTCCACTTTCAGAATGAAACCCTTGAACCATGAAGATGCCTTGGCTGTTTTCCATAATACCGCATTCGCGAATGATGGTAGCACATTTATTCCAGATCAAGCTGTTGTGAGCAAGGTAACAAGCAACACATATTACATGAACATTCTGTATCTAGTAGTTGTCATTCTTCGGTTTTGATTTTTGCCTCCGACTGAAGCGAGGTGCCTGACATGCATATTTATACAAACATATTTGGTCAATCAGGATCTTAAGCATGGATGTTTGCTAACATTTTGGCTGGTAGTCTCCATTCTGATTTCTGATTGACCATTAGCTACTTGAACTCAATGTGTGGCTGGGAACCCTGTGCTTAGAATGATATACTTGTAGTATAAGTTTCGGGGCATCAACAGTAGTTAGATAGCACTGCTCCGCACTCTGCTTAGCTGGCTGGTACAGCCTGCAAAGAGATAATCTTGTTTGGTTCTGAATTGCAGATTGTTGAAGCATGCAAAGGGTACCCAAAAGCAATTGCAAGGAGCGGGAGCTCACTACGAGGGAAGCCTGCCGCGGAATGGCGTAAGAGAGCTAAGGAATGTTCTGAATCTGCACATTCTTCTAATTTTGGGACTCAAGAATCTTTTGAAAGCAAAGCCGAGGGATACTGGGTGGACCAAGGTTCATTCTCTGAAGTAACCCAAAAGCAATTGCAAGGAGCATGCACAGGGCACCCAAAAGCAATTGCAAGGAGCGGGAGCTCACTACGAGGGAAGCCTGCTGCGGAATGGTGTAAGAGAGCTAAGGAATGTTCTGAATCTGCACATTCTTCTAATTTTGAGACTCAAGAATCTTTTGAAAGCAAAGCCGAGGGATACTGGGTGGACCAAGGTTCATTCTCAGAAATAACCCAAAATTCTCCTAATGCTACCCTTGCTGACATGAAGATAGAACTGCACAAGTCAGTTGAGGGTGATGCCATAGTCGATTCACACCAGATCTCTTGTCAGATTTCAGTCGATTTTCCTAGGTATGTGAAATGTCTTATTGATTTTTTCGCGACAACAAATTATTCAAAGATGTTAAAGTCTTCAACTTTCAGCAATCTTATGGTTTTTTGTTCCATCAGTGAGACCAGTAGAGATTGCTTCTTGGATGATCAACGGTTTATCGTGGAGCAAGGTCTGTTGAGAGAATTGGCCAATCTTGGAAACCAAAAAGGGAGCATTGACAACCAAGGAAACGACTTCCCAATGAAAGCAGCAGGAACTAAATACCCAAATGCTGAAATCGTCCCAATCGCTCTGGTGCAGGGTTAAACTATTCACCAGCCTGATTCTCCCTATTGGCCATGTAAGTTTTTGATGATACTTGTACAGCATATGCAACATTATCGGCATGGTTTCCACGTTGGGTTGGCTGCTTGCAACACAAGTCTGTGCTGTTGAAGTTGTCCCAAATATTGGTGGCATGCTGGAATCTTTCTGCAGTTCAACGAAATGTATGAATAAGCTTTGCAAGCATGGTTCCTTAGGAGCAGCGATGAACCAACTGAGGAGGTTTAATCTCAGGGAGGGGTCACATCTGTGGCAGAAACACATGAAATCCTCATCAAATTATAGTCAGCAATGTTGTTAATATGGATCGCGACCAGTGGAATCATCAGTTTGTGTCTCATTATTTAGTTCACTTCTTGATCAAATTAATCTGCATACAGTACCTTATTGTAATCTCTCTCACACTCAACTAGCGGGAATATAATGCAATGTAGTCTTTCGCATCATACTCCCCCGGATTTGGGTTACCATTAGTGTGGAATGCTAGGGATTGTTTGGTAGTTGTGGTTGTATTCTAATGGATATGTATTGCAAATATATCTATGTATTGATGGAATAATTGTGTTGTAATGTACGATTAAGTGTTTTTGTAGCTCAAAAAATGGAAAAGATACTATTACTTTTCGGGAAATATTATATTTTCACATTTTTTGGATGTAATCCACCACGAGTTTTAGAGAGAGCGAGAGCGTCTATAAGGTGTGTGAACAAAGATTTAGAGCCATGGCCCATGAGAGATAAGATTTTAGTGCCATGATCACCTCAAATTAGAGGCTGCTCCGCATCAAATTACAATGGTTATTAATCTAATCTATCCCTAAGCTTGAATTCATTTTTGCTGAATGTGGAATAGATTTACAATCTATAGTAAAAAAACTTTCATCTCAATAAACATTTTTAAAGTTAGCTTAGATCATGAAAGCTAAATTAGAATTTGACAATAAGACTAAATTGACTTAATTAATGATTGAACCATACAATTACAAAATAATGAAAAAAAATCATTATTTAATCTTTAAATCCTAACTCTCAGCTCAATCTCTCTTAGAGATGGCAAAAATATCCGTAGCTATGGATATCCGCCAGAATCCGGCATAATCGAGTAGGGTAGAACCCGAACCCGAAGGACATTTAGTGGGTACGGGTAAAATTCGAACCCGAATATTGCGGGTAATGGGTGGACATGGGTTTCTCACTATCCAACCCAAACCCGCCCGATTATACACATGCATATGTATTTTGTCTAGAAATAATCATTATTTTCCTCTAACATATTTTATATTTAGCATATAAATATAATATTTTCATAAAATTGTGTTGTTTTAATTAATTTTCTTCATTCTAGTTAATTATTATCGTAATTTTCTTAGTACATAATGTGAGAAAACGTGTGAATGTTAACATATTGGTTGGAGTTATGAAGAAAAATCATTACTCATGGATAACCGCGGATACCCGAAACCCAAACGAGTATGAGCATGGTTTTAATCTTCTACCCATTTCACATGTGGGTATGGCCGTATGGGTATTGGTAAAACCCAAACTAATTTGGGTAGGGTAACGGATATGCACTATCCGTCCCCAACCCGACCCGACCCGACCCATTGCCATCCCTAAATTCTCTCACAAAAAATACATTAATTCTGTGATACATAAACTCCAAACTAATTTTTTTTTTCAAATTCTAAGTAGGAAAACATTTTGGAAATAAATTAGTGTGTAATTTAATCATAAATATAAACACCAAATTTTTACCCGAGGAAATGTGTATTATTAGTATGTACATTATGATTGGAAGATAAATTGTTCCAATTAAAATTCAGATTAAGAATATTCAATTGAGATTTTCCAATCGGACCAGTAGTTGCCTACCTTATCGATCCAATAACGTTTATTTGGAACTCTAACAAGATTCGATCTTTATTCTATTCAGCTTCTGCAGAATTAATCCTGTCCATACCTCTTTCCTCATATCCGAAGGAAGATAAACTCATCTGGCCCTATGATAAATCTGGTCAATATACAGTGAAATCGGGGTACCACCTCTTAACAAATGAAATTAACCCATTTCATAATAGTATACCAGACTACTTGAACACAAAATTTTGGAAATCATTATGGAGTATACCAGTACCACCAAAACTGAAATTCTTCCTTTGGAGAATAGTTCGGGGGTTACTTCCTGTTCGCAAAATACTGCAAATTCAAAAATTGACTACGTCTAGCGAGTGTCCAGTGTGTTGTGAGCCAACTGAGGAGATTAATCATTGTTTTTTTGAATGTAGGATTGCAAAAGAGTTATGGATTATGGTTGGATTGGAACATCGTAGAAACTCAATGCGCTCCTTTCAACCAGATCTGGCATGGAAAAATCTATTATGCGCTACTCACATCTCCAAGATCGAGATTGCCGATACGGTTTTCCTATTCTGGCGAATTTGGAAAGGAAGATGCAAAGCTACTTATGCTTTAGTATTACTTCAAGCTCGAGTTTTGTTCCGACAACTAACAGCGCATATAGAGGAATGGCGAACGACGGAGGGACAGAAAGCTCGGCAACCCACAGGTGTTCAGAGACCATCGGCGAACCCTAACAATCAAACAGGACCTCGAAGGAGTCATCCAGATGTCATATGCCCTAATAACAGTAACCTTGTGAGATTTGACGGAGCCATGAAGAAAAACCAAGGAGGCTCCATCGGATTTGCGGGATTCTCGAGAGACGGTACATTATCCTTTGCTTTTGGTAAATATTATGAAGGAATTTCGGAGGCTTACATTTCCGAGCTTCTAGCTCTTAGAGACGCTATGAGATGGTGCTTAACACATAATTTTTTGGTGGTTGTATTTTGTGGAGACGCTCAACTGGTTATCAAGAACGCTATGGCAAAGAATGCTTCTCACTCTCGAGCAGGGGCCGTCTTGGAGGAAGTTCACTCATTTTTCTCATTTTTTGAGTCAGTGTCGTGTCTTTTTGCTCCTCGGAGCTTTAACAGAGCTGCCCATATAGTGGCTAATCAGGCTCTTTCATCGGGAATCCGCTTGCTTACGGATTACCGTCCTTTTTTGGAATCTACTTGTACCTGAGTCGAGTCTTTGTCCCATGCCCTTTGGGCTTGCCTTGGGAAAAAAAATTGAGATTTTCCAATCAGGTGTTAATCGACAAGGTAAACATTGTCTTAATCTTAACTTAGTTTGTGAGGTTTCTAGATGAGAGTAATCAACCTATTTTTTAAACATTTTGTACCTGACTTACTCGAGCGAGACTATCCATCACTCCACTTTTTTCCGATTGTTCACCTAATAAGAGATTGAACTGATCTAATTTTATTTCAACCAAGTAGAATAGAAGATTGAGGTAATGAGAAACTTAATATTAACCAACTTATCAACTGGTATAAATGAGGTAACCTTAAGTCCATAACCATCAATTTCAACTTATTGTGTTCTTAAATATGACGATATCCAACAATGCAGTCAAAAGCACGATTCTACCTAGAAGCGAAAAAGGGGTAAAATCGTAAAGCGTAGAATCAAAACGAAAAAACGTAAGTTTTTTACGCATACTGAAAAATAACTAAAAATTTATTAAGTAGGGCATATACTATGTAAAATATGAATGCACAAAATTTAGATAAGTTAATAAATACATGCAATTCATACCTAAAGTAGAGCAACTTATAGCATCTTAATAATAAGTTCGTAAACATAAATTTTAACACTAAGCCACTTTTCCTTTTATGCTAATGAATTTGGGAAGAGCATAGCTGGTGAATTAGATTACTCTATTGAAGTTGAGAATGCATACAAGTACCTGGTATTAGGGGTGGGCATTGGGTGGGTCGGGTGGATTTTGACCATAAAATGCACCCACCCGCGCTTAAACGGATTGATAATTTTTAACCCACCACCCACCCACATTTAGTCTCGGGTTGGGTCGGGCGGATGGTGGATGATGCGGGTGGGTTTGTGGGTTCACCCACATCACAATGTATATAATATAAAGGAGTCAACTTGACATGATAATAGGTGAAGATAATCATCGAGGGAAACAAGTAGTTGAAATAGGGCGAAAAATGCCGAATTAGTTTTTAAATTGGATAGAAATTCTATTATGAAAGAGTTTTCTACAGATTGAGACGATTATTAGGTGCAAAGAACTAAGGAAAATAATTCCACAAAGGAAAGAGCGGTGATCTAGGCACAAGAATTAGAGGAAAAAGTAAAGGGAAGAAGAGGGGATCTCTATTTGAAAGGTTGGCTTTGAGGTTCAAACTCCAGGAGCAGTCCGAGTTTATATCTAACGTCTCCACTCTCCTCTCTCTAGCGCCAACGACTTTGATCTTTTTGCTGTTGGGTTGAGTGGGTCACCCGCACACTCACCCACAACCCACCCACCACCCGGCGGATGGCTCCCAGCGCAACCCTTCACCCACCCACAAACCCACCCACTTAACGAAATTCAGGTCAAATGCGGGCGGGTCGGCCCAAACCCGCGGATGATCCGCCCGCATGCCCAGCCCTACCTGGTATGTATCTTTTAATCTCAAATGTATCATATTGTTGGTGATTTACTTTTAAAATATACTTTTTCATAATTAATTTCGTGAAAAGAATACTCATTTAGTGAACTAAAAGCGTAAAAACGTAAAGCGTTTTTGTGAACTAGAAGCGTAAAAGCGTAAGCTTTAAAGCCCAATTTAATCTGATTTTGTACACTTAAGTTTTTATATGGAAACGAAAGCGTTTTGGTGCCCTAAAAGCGTAAAATCGTAAATTTTTAAGTTTTAAAGCGTGATTTTAACTACGTTGATATCCGGTTTAAAACTCTTTTTTGCAACTATTTGACAGGCTAGATTCCAAAAGTCTGAATTATAGATTGAAACAATTAACACTTATATTTTCTTTTGGCATTCAATGACACTTTGTCAGTTTGCCTCAAATTGTCTCTATCACAACCAACCCACCAAATATGAGAGTGCCACTGATCAGAAAGATACAAACAGAATTCACAGCCGTCTGATCTCCCACAGTTTTCGCCATTAGAAAAACAGTCTTAAATAAGAACAATATATTGGACACTGCCGCCATGGAGGCCCTCTCCGCAACGCAAACATTTCAATACATACTCTCATGACATATAAATAGTGACTCACCCACTTGTCAATTCACAGGCGAAAGAGTTAGAGGTGATCACTTCCTCCTTCCTTACGTCAAGACTTGTGGGGCAACAAGTAGTTGTATATCCTCCATGAAAGCAATGCAAATCAAAGCTATCGCTTTCCTCCTCTGGGTTCTTGTTTGTGCTCTTGCCCCCATCGACCCTGTGGATGCAGCTTTCCGCCAGAACGATGGGCAGATGATCGCGGGTAGAAAGCTGTTTCTTTCTCCAGGCAAGTTCTCTCTTTGTTAGCTCTCGCGTTGCTAGCTGTAGTGGCGGAGGCAGGATTTGGAACTGTCTCTGTCCTCTTTTTGGATTATAAATATTTTTTAAAAAATATAATTAAATTAATAATATCTAAATAATTTATTTTTATATATAAAAGATAACGACTAATACAATTCGTATTTTCATAAACAATCATGACGATTTTTCATAAACACAAAATGCATTCATTGTCTATACT